ATCATTGTATCTCGATCGTTTTTAAAGATAACCCCCTCGAGTTTAGAGTCATTTTAAAGCATTTTTAATCCTCTTTACGATTCGAGCAATATAAATATTTTGAAAAAAAATTATAAAATAACATTTTGCATTTTTAATCATGATAATATTAAATTTGTATTCTAAGTTAAAAACCCTTTAATTTGATTCCAAACACGCCCTATTTGCGATAAAAACAAAAAAAGTTAGGTTAAAATCACCAAAGACAACCGCCATCTTGTTTTTTTTTTGTTAAAATTGTTCGTTTAGATTCATTTGAAGGCATTTTTAATTTTCTTTACGATTTGAAAAATGTTTACGATGTTTACACGATAACATTATGTCTAAATATCGAAAATGACATTTGCTCGGTCAAAAATGACAGTTGACGTTTAAATGTCAATATTATTTATTGCATCAAATAATAATGGTTATCATGTAATGTCATGCTAATGATGTTTACACAGCAAGATTATGTCCAATTGCCGAAAATGACATTTGGAATGTCAAAAATGACAGTTGACGTTTGAATAACAATATTATTTATTGCAACTAATAATAATACTTATCGTGTAATGTCAAGTTAATGATGTTTACATGTTAAGATTATGCGTAACTATCAAAAATGTCATTTGACTTATCAAAAATGACAGTTGACGTTTAAATATCAATTTTATTTATTGCATCAAATGATAATAGTTACCGTGTAATAATGTCAAGTTAATGATGTTTACACATCCAGATTATGTCTAATTTCCGAAAGTGACATTTGGAGTGTCAAAAATGACAGTTGACGTTTAAATTTCAAAATTATTTATTGCAAGAAATAATGATAGTTGTCGTGTAATGTCAAGTTAATGATGTTTACACATCAAGATTATGTCCAATCACCGAAAATGGCATTTGGCCTGTCAAAAATGACAGTTGACGTTTAATTATCAATACTATTTATTGTAACTAATAATAATAGTTATCGTGTAATATCAAGTTAATGATGTTTACACGTTAAGATTATGCCTAACTATCAAAAATAACATTTCACTTATCAAAAATGACAGTTGACTTGTCAAATATGACAGTTGACGTTTAAATATCAATATTATTAATTGCATCAGTTACCATGCAATATCAAGTTAATGATGTTTACACGTTAGGATTATATCTATCAAAAATGACATTTGGCCTGTCAAAAATGACAGTTGACTTGTCAAATATGACAGTTAGCGTTTAAACATCAATGTTATTAATTATATCAGTTACCATATAATGTCAAGTTAATGATGTTTACACGGTAAGATTATGTCTAACTATCAAAAATGACATTTGACCTGTCAAAAATGACAGTTGATATTTAAATATCAATATTATTTATTGCAACTAATAATAATACTTATCGTATAATGTCAATTTAATGATGTTCACATGTTAAGATTATGCCTAATTATCAAAAATGACGTTTCACTTATCATTAATGACATTTGACTTATCAAAAATGACAGTTGACGTTTAAATATAAAAATTTTTTATTTGATCAAATAATAATAGCTAACGGGTAATGTTAAGTTTATGATGTTTGCACATTAAGATTATATCCAATTACCAAAAATGACATTTGGCCTGTCAAAAGTGATAGTTGACGTTTAATTATCAATATTATTTATTGCATCAAATAATAATAATTAACGAATAATGTCAAATTAACGATGCTTATACGTTAAGATTATGCCTAACTATCAAAAATGACATTTCACTTATCAAAAATGACAGTTGACTTGTCAAATATGACAGTTGACGTTTAAATATCAATATTATTAATTATATCAGTTACCATATAATGTCAAGTTAATGATGTTTACACGTTAGGATTATGTTTAACTATCAAAAATGACATTTGGCCTGTCAAAAATGACAGTTGACGTTTAAATATCAATATTATTTATTGCAACTAATAATAATAGTTATCGTATAATGTCAAGTTAATGATGTTCACATGTTAAGATTATGCCTAACTGTCAAAAATGACATTTTACTTGTCATTAATGACATTTGACTTATCAAAAATGACAGTTGACGTTTAAATATTAAAATTATTTATTTGATCAAATAATAATAGCTAACGGGTAATGTTAAGTTTATAATGTTTGCACATTAAGATTATATTCAATTACCAAAAATGACATTTGGCCTGTCAAAAGTGATAGTTGACGTTTAATTATCAATAGTATTTATTGCATCAAATAATAATAATTAACGAATAATGTCAAATTAACGATGCTTATACGTTAAGATTATGCCTAACTAACAAAAATGACATTTCACTTATCAAAAATGACAGTTGACTTGTCAAAAATGACAGTTGACTTGTCAAATATGACAGTTGACGTTTAAATATCAATATTATTAATTATATCAGTTACCATATAATGTCAAGTTAATGATGTTTACACGTTAAGATTATGTTTAACTATCAAAAATGACATTTGACCTGTCAAAAATGACAGTTGACTTGTCAAATATGACAAGTTGGCGTTTAAATATCAATATTATTAATTACATCAGTTACCATATAATGTCAAGTTAATGATGTTTACACGTTAGGATTATGTTTAACTATCAAAAATGACATTTGAACTGTCAAAAATGACAGTTGACTTGTCAAATATGACAGTTGGCGTTTAAATATCAATATTATTAATTACATGAGTTACCATATAATATCAAGTTAATGATGTTTACACGTTAAGATTATATCTAACTATCAAAAATGACATTTGGCCTGTCAAAAATGACAGTTGACTTGTCAAATATGACAGTTAGCAATTAGTTTAAATGACAGTTGAAATATTGTTTATTGCAACTAATAATAATAGTTATCGTGTAATATCAAGTTAATGATGTTTACATGTTAAGATTATGCCTAACTATCAAAAATGACATTTGACTTATCAAAAATGACAGTTGACGTTTAAATATTAAAATTATTTATTTGATCAAATAATAACAGCTAACGGGTAATGTTAAGTTTATGGTATTTGCACATCAAGATTATGTCCAAGTGCCGAAAATGACATTTGGCCTGTCAAAAATTACAGTTGACGTTTAATTACCAATATTATTTATTGCATCAAATAATACTAGTTAACGAGTAATTCCAAATTAACGACGCTTACACGTTAAGATTAAACCTATCAAAAATGACATTTGATTTGTCAAAAATGACAGTTGACGTTTAAATATTAAAATTATTTATTTGATCAAATAATAACAGCTAACGGGTAATGTTAAGTTTATGGTATTTGCGCATTAAGATTAAGTCCAATTGCCAAAAATGCCATTTGGAATGTCAAAAATGACAGTTGACGTTTAATTACCAATATTATTTATTGCATCAAATAATAACAGTTAACGAGTAATTCCAAATTAACGACGCTTACACGTTAAGATTAAACCTATCAAAAATGACATTTGATTTGTCAAAAATGACAGTTGACGTTTAAATATTAAAATTATTTATTTGATCAAATAATAACAGCTAACGGGTAATGTTAAGTTTATGGTATTTGCGCATTAAGATTAAGTCCAATTGCCAAAAATGGCATTTGGAATGTCAAAAATGACAGTTGACGTTTAATTACCAATATTATTTATTGCATCAAATAATAACAGTTAACGAGTAATTCCAAATTAACGACGCTTACACGTTAAGATTAAACCTATCAAAAATGACATTTGATATGTCAAAAATGACAGTTGACGTTTAACTATTAAAATTATCTATTAAATCAAATAATAAATGTTATATTTAGGATGTTTACTTGCACATAGATATATTTTAAATTCATTTCTCCAAAATAACTTCATCGCAGTCAACAAAAACCAGTTCCAAAAAAAATCTAACCATGCATAAAATGGCTATTGTTACATATAAAATTCATTTGGCATCTCACAAAGCGTATTTATCAAAAACGCAAAATGGTTTTTATATGTTTTTGTAACATTGTGCGGTCCACAATAATTCTTTTTGGGTCTCGTTGATAGAAACGTTTTGAATATCGCACATTCGCATACGCCGTTCCATTTCGTTTGCCAGATTTTAACTCTACCTACACCAAAAATACACGCAGCTTAAATGTAATACTTCTTGCCAAAGTCGGATTGAGAACCGTATAATTTCGCCTTGGATTTCAGTAAAATAATTAGTTACCAAGTCTTTTTGGCTACGAATCATCTATATTTTAATCGGGTTTAATTAATAAATCTTTTTTGAAACACATTTTAAAGTTCATAAATTGGCTAACAACAATGCCAGCTTTAAATGTTGTATTATTTATCGTCCGTAGAAAATTGAAAGTTTGGACCAGGAAATGGTGTTCAAAACAAAAGGAGTTAATGACCGGGTGTAACTATTTTTATTTGTCTGTGCCGTAGCCAAAACGTAAACAAGCATTGTTTGAAAAATCTATTTTTAAACATTTTTTTTATTAATGAAGATTATTATTTTAGATCTCCGTGGTGGGCAAAGCAGTTTTAATAACAGGATGTGATTCAAGGATGGGTTACGCTCTGGCTAGATATCTAGATGAATTAGGATTTACGGTTTTCGCCGGGTTTCAAAACGTCGAAGATAACCAATACGCCGACGATCTTAAAGAAGAATCGAGCGGACGACTTCACGTCTTGCAACTCGACGTTTCCTCTGAAACCCAAATTCTCGCAGCTTCTTTGTACATTGTTGAACATCTTCCAGATGACGCCCCCGGACTTTGGGCCGTCATCCACGCCGCCAATTATTTTGCAATGGGTGAAATCGAATGGATACCTTATGATGCGGTGAAAAAAGCAACCGAAGTTAATTTGGTCGGGGCTACAAGAGTCACCCAAGTGATGGCTCCGCTTCTACGAAGAGCTAAAGGGAGATTGGTGTTTTTATCTTCTGGGTTATGTAGGATTACTTCGCCGGTTCGTGGACTTCATTGTGCTTTATTCGCCGCTGTTGAAGCACAAGCGATGTGTTTGAGGCAAGAAATGAGATCTAGAGGGGTTGATGTTGTTGTTGTTGCACCTGGAGAGTTTACAGCTTGTGCTTCTTGGTTGACGGAAGAAGATCTTTTAGAGGAGGCGAAAGAAATGTGGGCGAGATTGGGGAGAGAGGCTAGAAAAGAATATGGCGAGCAATATTTTGAAACTGCTGTTAGGAGCTTGGAAAAATATTGTAAAGTACAGGTAAAAAAAATACTCCTAATTTCTTTTTTGGGTTATTTTAAATTACAAATTGTAATAAAACTGTTTTTAGGACGGAGATTTAGCAGCGGTTTTAAAAGCATTGTCGGATTCGATCACCCGAACATTTCCACTAGAGAAATACACTCCGGTTACCAAAAAAGAAAAACTACAAGCTTTTATCTCCGATCATCTTCCACGGCCGGTTTATGACGTTTTCTATTCTTAAATTAATTTATAAATCGAAATATTCTCGAATATTTGTTTAAAGTAAAATCAATTCATTTTTTAGATGATAAATATTAGAAAAAATAACATTTCAAGTAGGAGTCTGAAAAAGAATTGGACTGAAAATGAAAAAAAAAAAATAAGAAAAAATTAAAATAAATAAATGTGAATTAGATGATCAATTTTGTTTGAGTCTGTAGGTGTATTTTGAAATGTGGATTTGGGTGCTGTAATAAAATTTGAAAAAATATGTTTATTGTAGATTTCAAAATCTATAATAAAATTCTAAAATAATCGAGTTTGTTTTTAATTTTAGATGAAAAAGTTTAATACGAAATCGAGTCTCCATCTAATAATCCTTATTAAGTAATCCAGTAATCCTGATACCACGTCTTTGCACAGAAAGGACGTTTTGTGACCTTGAAATAAAATCACCATCTTATCGCGAGTTACCAAAATTCTAGATACCCTATGGACATTTTTTTACAGAGAATTTGATGACGTAGCCAAAAAGAAATTTTTCGGTTTTAGTTTTTGAGATATTACGACAATTTTCGTTTTTTTAAATGGAAACAACCACTGATTATTCGCTTATTAAATTCGTTATTTTTTTCTGATTACAAAAATATAGGGTTTGACAGGTCTATTTCTTATTGTTTTAGAATAAAACTAAAAATAAACTTTTCTTTTAGTGTCAGAGGTTATTCTTGAAA